AAACCCTAAACCCTGAACCCTTATTCCGACCCGTGTAGTAGGTACTTCCTGTATGACAATGCCCGGACTCTGGACAATCGTCCAAGCTCAAAGGTTTTTCAGTTGCGAAGACCACTGGGTTGAACTGGTTTTCGGGTTTAGGGTTTAGAGCTAGGGTTTCGGGGTTAGGGTTCAGGGTTTAGGGTTTTAGGGTTTCAGGGTTTTGGGTTTAGGGTTTAGGGTTTAGGGTTTAGGGTTTAGGGGGATCGTGGTTAGGATTGCATTTAGAAAGCTCGAGCTGCCAAACGTGCGTGCAGAGCTTCGGGGCGACCCATGCCCAAACCCTCTCTCTTTCGGAAATGTTTAGGGTTTAGGGTTTAGGGTTGGGGGGTTAGTTTTCGTGTTACAAGATGTGGGGGGTTAACTTTCGTGTTACAAGATCTGAACTCGAAGAGCAAGTACGCAGACCAGAAAGCTGCAGAAGGGGTTTCAGGTAGGTTCTGGGAGTACGGGTTATAGTATTGGAGTCTTGGGTGCGAAGCAAATAGGGTTTAGGGTTTAGGGTTTAGGGTTTAGGGTTTAGGGTTTAGGGTTTAGGGAACCCATCCCCCCCCCCCACACACACCAAGCAGAGGATGAGCTCGGAACTGTAAGCACGATCAGCACCTGACTTTGTTCAGCAAAGTCGCAGCTTCCCGCAAGCATGTAGTGCAAGTATAGTGCCCTAAGGTCAGGATCCTTTTCGTTCATTCGACTTCTGACTACCTCATTTGTTGTGGAAGCCATAGAGTTCGCTTTTGTTGCAAACCCCCTGACTCTGCGTTCAGCACGCGAAAGTGCAGCCAGGGGACCCTCTTTGTTCTTCAGGGGGTTTCTGACGGAAGCGATGATCTACTTCGGCTTTTCAGGGCCACCCTGGGCAACAATCCCTGAGCCTGGAATGCTTAACTTTGGAGCCTTTTGAGGGCGGCCGCATGCCGTCGCAGGGATGTCAGCGTGCGGTGCTGCTCCAACTCTCCACCCTCTAAACTTTCTAAATCCCCACCCTTTTTCCCCTCCTCGAACTCTCTTGCAGGTCCCTGTCCTAAACCCTAAACCCTCAACCCTCAACCCTAAACCCTAAACCCTAAACCCTAAACCCTAAACCCTGAACCCTGAACCCTGAACCCTGAACCCTGAACCCTGAACCCTGAACCCTGAACCCTGAACCCTGAACCCTGAACCCTACACTCTACCATGCGTGAAGATCTTGAGCCCCGACGCGAAAGCCGTATGCAAAGACCCGAACCCCCAGGCTCGAACCTCATAGCGGCCCATAAGCCCCGACATCCCTCTGATCAGGGTCTAGGGTTTAGGGTTTAGGGTTTAGGGTTTAGGGTTTAGGGTTTGGGGTTGAGGGTTGAGGGTTGAGGATTTAAGGTTAGGGTTTAGGGGCTTGAGGATTTAGATTATGGCCTACAATCGCCCTAGAGTCGATTCGTCTGCGAACCCAGGACACGCGCCGCAGCTCTGCGATAAGACTGCAGCTGCAAAACATGAGTAAACCAATGCCTCAGCACCTGAGGCCCTAAACCCTGGACGCCAAACCCCGGAACCCACTACCTAGTGGGAGTTGGTCGAAAAATATCCCAAAATGCCCAGTATTTCCTTGATCAACCCAACAGGAACCCTATAAAATTTCAGAAGGACCTTTAGGTCAACCCCACCCCCCAAGTACAGCCGGGGCTGGGGGTCTTGCGAAGTAGTTCATGTCTGGAGGCACATTGGAGCGAAGCACTTCCTTTTCTGGCTCCTCGCGAGCGCATACAGGGAAGCCATTGGGTCTAAGGCTTTAGGGGTTTGGGGTTTGGGGTTTAAAGTTTAGGGTTTAGGGTTTCGGGTTTGGGGTTTAGGGGCTTTTGGGTTTAGGGTTTAGGGTTTCGGGTTTGGGGTTTAGGGGTTTTTGGGTTTAGGGTTTAGGGGTTTCTTCACCGAGCTCCAGGCCCCACAGGTGGGCGGGGGGGGGGGGGGGGGGGGGGGGGGGGCCGAAGTCTTCATAAACAACCCTAGACCCTACACGGCCCTACACCCTAAACCCTAAACCCTAAACCCAAAACCCAAAACCCTAAACCCAAAACACAAAACCCAAAACCCTAAACCCTAAACCCAAATCCTAAAATGCTGCAGCTTGGAAGGCAAAGGCTTTCGTTGCTGGCGAGGATCACCAAAGCCACTGAAAGCAGTTCGTTTAGGGTTTCGGGTGTCGGATTTCGGGTTTAGGGCCATAGCCCAAACCAAAGTATCCCGAAACTAGTGAGCGCATCAGGAAACCCTGTTTAGGATTGAGGGCCTAGGGTTTATAGGGTTTAGGGTGGACTTTACTCCCCCCCCCACCCCCTGGCAACAAGAATCTAAGTGCCTGGATGTAGTTCTTCGCGTAGTATGAGGCAAGCCGCAGGACCTCTGAGCATTTTGGTGGTGGGATGGGGGGGGGGAGGGTATTCAGCCATGCTTGTTCGGCCCTGCTCCTATGTCTCGGGGCGGCATCCCCGGATAGCCCGACCTGCAGCACTGACACTTCGCACTGCACCTGGATGTAAGGAAGAACGACGATAGAGGCCGCTCGGAAATCGGAACATCACACCCCGTGGGACGAACCAGCGCCCTCGAGCAGCATGGGAATGTGAAGACGGATTTGCTTAGCTGCGAGCCCAGAACCCTTTCCTGCAACCCTTTCCAGCCCTGAGCTGAGGGTTTTTAGGGCTTAGGGCTTAGGGCTTCGGGCTTAGGGTTTAGGGCCCCTTCTGCCCAAAATCCCACAACGCTCCCTGCACACTGAGCTCTTGACATCCCCGCAGCAGCTGGGGCCATGGAGGTGAACGACCGACAGGGCTCGCCGGTAAGCCTGTTTAGGGTTTAGGGTTTAGGGTTTAGGGTTTAGGGTTCAGCATCTCAAGTTCGAGCATTTACTAGGCCAGCAGTGTGTGTAGGCAACGGAAAAAAACCCACCCACCCAGAGAATCCCAAAACATTAAGAAAATATAAAGTTTACATTTCTCATCAGCAAGCCCTGTCCTCCAACCTCACTCTGTCATGGACCATCCTACCCACAAACCATTTCATCGGCCTACAGAGGGGCGGGACTTGAAATCCTGAAACCGGTGAAGGCTCGGTTTTGGTCAAAAATCCAGAAAACGAGAGACCACCCAGAGCCGTCGATTTCAGTACTAAAAAAATCGCTTTTTTTAACTGGGACCCGGGCCGATCCTGGGGTTGCCCTCATTTGGGGTGTTTTTGGAGGCAAACTTTCCCTCTCAAAGGGGGGTCGGAGTTTCAGGCAAGGGGGGGTCTCTCAGAAGACTATTTTGCCTTTAAAATTGAAAAATACGACCCCCCCTTGACCAAAACTAGGCTGTGAAAAGGTCGCGGGGGCGGCCCTTCATCAGAATTGAGGGTGACAAACCAGGACAAGGCCAAGACCCTTGACTGCCCAACAGGGCCGGTCGATTTGGAAGGGCCAAGGCCAAGGCCAAGGCCAAGACCGCGGGCCAGGACAAGGCCAGACCCTTGAGTGTCCAACAGGGCCAGGACAAGGCCAGACCCTTAAGTGCCCAACAGGGCCGGTCGATTTAGGCCGTGCGCGCGCGGGCCAGGACAAGGCCAGACCCTTGAGTGCCCAACAGGGCCGGTCGATTTGGAAGGATTGCCCTTAGGGCGTGACCAACAGGGCCGGTCGATTTGCTGACTATAGGGTTTAAATGTATATATATATATAGGTAAGAGAGGTTTAGGGTTTAGGGTTTAGGGTTTAGGGTTTAGGGTTTAGGGTTTAGGGTTTAGGGTTTAGAGTCTAGGGTTAGCTTCCGCGGCTTTTCAGAAGCTTAGGAGAAGTTAGGGTTTGGAGGTTGAGGGGCTGCTGGTTTCAGAGCTTGGGCCCTTGGCCCCCCAAGAGTTGGGTCAAATACGCGGGCTTCTAGGCTACTTTTACCTAAAGCCAACCTACAATCCCCTTTCGTGCACGGAGCCGGAAAGTGCACCCCAAGACCTTCTGTCCTAAACCCTAAACCCTAAACCTAAACCCTAAACCCTAAACCCTAAACCCTAAACCCTAAACCCTAAACCCTAAACCCTAAACCCTAAACCCTAAACCCTAAACCCTAAACCCTAAACCCTAAACCCTATGTGAAGCTGGTAGCCCTTAAGGCCAGCGCGTCGCATTGGTAGGGGCAGCCTGATGAGTGGCTGTACTCGCCAGTGCGGGTGGGTATACAATACATTGACCAGGTATAAGGTCAAACACAGGTTATGACGCCCAAAGGCTTAAGCACGGCCCAGGATAAGGACTGTGTGAAATGCTTCGCGCTTCACTGTGCGACTTCGTGACGTTCCTGACCAAGTGAGCTGGGAGGTTTGTAAGAGCTCATGGTGCAGCGTCGAGCACGGGCGCGCCCTGATCCGGGGATTGTCCCAAATGCTGGCTAGCGCCGCGTAAGGGCTTCCTTTGGAGATGGGTTTGCGTAGCCGGCCCATAAATAAGTAAGCTTTCTGGAGGACGGTGATGCCGGGAGACGTCTCAGGCAAGGCTTGGCTGCGACGGGCCAGGGGCCAAAAAGTGTATCGCAGGGTGCTGAGGAGGTTAACTTCAGCTACCGGTCTTTGCCCCGAGGGTGGGGCCAGGTGAGCAGGTCATCGGCAGAAGGCACACGTGCATGCAATGTGGCTGCAGTTCTGAGAGTCACTCTCCACTTGCAGTGCAGAGTGAGGGGGAGTGTGAAGCTGCAGCCATTAAGAGCGGGTTGCCCCCGTGCGTCTGGGAGCCAGAGGCAGTCTCATGGTGGCTGTGCTCAGCTTTCCAGGGTTGGCAAATGCAGGCTTTCACAGGTTATGAACGCCCAAGTATCGGGCTGCTGCGCAAAACACCGCTTGGTAGTGGGCTTGGTGGTTGTGGCCTAAAGCTGTGGGGGGTTACTTCATGTCGGCTGCTGAGAGTCTGGCGGGCACAGCGGGTGGCTTTGCCAGGGCGGTCGGGGTCATGGGTGGCATCACAGCATGGCATTGCCAATGGTTGGGGGCAATGAGCGCCTAATGGAGAGGCCAGGTGGCGCAAACCTCTCAGCCATTGCTGGTGGTTGCTGGGCCTGGGGGAGTTACAGCAGGGAGCACTCCTTCGCATAAGCTGTGGAGCGGGGGGAGTGTGAGAAGCTGGTAGCCCTTAAGGCCAGCGCGTCGCATTGGTAGGGGCAGCCTGATGAGTGGCTGTACTCGCCAGTGCGGGTGGGTATACAATACATTGACCAGGTATAAGGTCAAACACACCCTAAACCCTAAACCCTAAACCCTTCTGCAATCGGCTCTGCATTTCACCCGATTCTAGGAATCCTTTGGGAGCTCTTCGAACTGAAAAAACAGGTCCTCTGCCCCGGCTTAAAACTGGCAGGCCCTCTAAAGGTTTTTTTGCCACCCTTCTAGCCACGGCAATGCGGGGTACAAGGTCGGAGACTAGGAAGGAGAACTTTCACCCCGGGCTGTATGTAAACGGCCACAGAGGATATGTCGCCTTATAAGGTTTAGGGTTTAGGGTTTAGGGTTTAGGGTTTAGGGTTTAGGGTTTAGGGTTTAGGGTTTAGGGTTTAGGGTTTAACCCTTACTAAGCCCTAAGTGCCCTAAAAGGCCTCAGTTTTGAGTTTCGGGTTTAGGGTCCACAAAAAAGGGTTTAGGGTTTACAACAAGGGTTTAGGTTTTAATGTTTACAAAAACGGGCTTAGGGTTTACGGTTTAGAGTCTAGGGTTTAGGGTTTAGGAGCTCCTTAAGGTCTTGCGGAGACCCCCAAGACCCTGCCACTTGGGAAGCGGGTTTAGGGTTTAGGGTTTAGGGATTTAGGGCTTTAGGTTTAGGATTTAGGGTTTAGTGTTTGGGGTGTAGGGTTTGGGGTTTAGGGTTGAGGCCCAGTCTGAGCCCCTGGCTCGCAGGATCCCATCGATCCCGTGCACCTGCGGGTTGTCGTTTTTTTTTTTTTTTTTTTTCTTTTTTTTCTTGGGGGGGGGGGGGGGGGGGGGGGGTGTTTGGGGGGGGGAAGGGTTTAGGTTTTAGGGATTAGCATTTCGGGTTTGGGGTTTAGGGTTTGGGGTTTAGCGGTTCCAAGGGTTTAGGGTTTAGGGGTTCAAGGGTTGCGGTTTCAGGGTTCAAGGGGCAAGGGTTTGCGGGCTCTGGCTTCGGAGTTGGCGTTGCCCCACAACTCAAACACACAAGCCCAACCCTAAACCCTAAACCCTAAACCCTAAACCCTAAACCCTAAACCCTAAACCCTAAACCCTAAACCCTAAACCCTAAACCCTAAACCCTAAACCCTAAACCAAACCCCAAACCCTAAACCCTAGACCCTTCAGCTTTCTCGAGTTCTTGGCTTGTACCACCTCAAGGCTGCTCACTTGCAACTCTCGATGGCTTGTCGTTAAGAAAGCCACACTGCAGCATTGCCTTTGCTGCCGAGGTGTCTGCTGAAATGAGTGGTTGAGGATGGTGCCCCCTATAAAAGGCCCCAGGAACTTGAGCTATAAGAAGTACACCTTCCCGAACGTTGGCATAGTGAGGCGGAACGCTTCATGCAGAGGCTTCGGCGCTAAACATCATGTTGATAGTCGTGCCGCTGTCCCGGGCCATCTCCTAACCCTCAGCTACTATTTGTATAGGGAGAAATATTTCAAATCTTTCGAGGAGTTCTTAAGCAAACACACCTTGGGGACGAAATGAACACGAAAATTGGGATCATATACCCTGACTACTAATTATAATTCCTATTCAGGTATATGAACCATAAACCCTTTTAGGGTTCATTTCGTCCAAAGGCAGTAGTAGTCAATGTCAAACCCGACCTGAGGATGAAGGAAGTCTCCCGTCAGCGCGAAGCAGTTGGAGCACACCTCGCAAGGAGACAAGGCTTCGGGTGCTGGGTTAAGGGGAGGTGGGGGCTTAGGAACCCTAAAGCCAAAACCCTAGCCCTAGTTCGGCTGTCCCCCCCCCCCCCCCCCCCCCCCCCCCCCGCCCCTGCGGCCCAGAACTGGACCATGGCTTGCGGCCCCAGAATTGGACCGTTTAGGGTTTGGGGTTTAGGGTTTAGGGTTTAGGGGAAAGGTTTAGGGTTTAGGGTTTAGGGTTCCGAGAGCCGGGCAGAATGGCTGGGAGGTATCTTGGCCCCGAAGCCGTAGACAGCGTACTCATCCGTGGTATCATAGCTCCTCTGATCAAGGCCCCGAGCAGCAGGGCTTCGGGCTCAGCAGGGCTGAGGGTTTAGGGTTTAGGGTTTAGGGTATCCAGAGCCCTTTGCGTTTCGTCCTCAATCCCATGAGCTCAAGCTGGCCCAACCCTCCAAACCTGAACTCAGACCATCTGCCTCGGCGAATCTTATGGCTTTCCGGGCCGCTGGTAGGCGTAAAGGGAGCCAGCACCCCTCTTCACCCCCCCGCCCTCTTCTCCGCTTCCCCCCACCACCCCCCCGAGCCCCCCGCCCCGCCCCCGCCAACATAAACCACAAATCATGAAATTGCCATTCTGATCCCTCCTTGCGTAATATAGGGGCCTGAATAATTTTAACCGGGTTTTGGGGGATTTTCACGTACAATTTCAAAGGCACCATGAGGGAATGCTACTAGTAATTGTTCCGACCCCTATAGTACCCGCCGTCCTGAGCACGCTCCCCAGGGCAATGATCGCATTCTCGTACGCTGTGGGGATCTCTTGCTGCGCCATACCTCGTCTCTTTTCTCTGCTGATCATGCAGCCTCTGGTGGACTTATCGAAGAGTCGCAGCTCTCGCCCTAAACCCTAAACCCTAAACCCTAAACCCTAGACCCGCACCGAAGCCTCTTCCCTGAGCTCCGGTCTGCAACTCGAAGCTCCCTCTCAAGCGCAAGCCCCCAAAAAAACCGACCTGTGAACAAAAGTCATTCTGCAACCAGATTAACCCGAAACCCTAAACCCTAAACCCTAGCCCTAAACCCTAAACCTGCGAATCCCAGCATTAAGCCAGCTATAGGCCAGACCCTTCCCCCGAACATCGGAGGAGAGAGTTATGCTGTCGACACTGAGCCAAAAGAACCCTAAGACCTGAAACGATTGAGATTTCCAGGCAGTTTTTTTAGTCCCTGAACCATATGTCATATGGTTCAGCTATGTAAATCTCAGCCGTTTCAGGCTGTGGGCTTGTGTGGCTCACAACAGAGTTTGATCTGAATTCCGGCCTCTTCTTGGTGTCCGAGAGTCTGCAATTACAAGGACTAGACTATAACTTGCTATCTGCTTAAGAACGAGGAGAACATAGAACATCACCGAAAGAGGGCGCGCCCAAATTTTAGTGAAAGAGCCATCCGCACTGTTAACGAGATGTTGTAGAAGCGCTTGAAGCAGATGAAAAGAAAGGAAAACAGAGCATCCAATGGCCAGATTAGATATTAGAAATCTTACTAACCTATAATAACCAGATGAAGCGCTCGGCAACGGGATTTACACCAATGGAAGCCCGAAAACCCAACGCTGTAATAAATTCCAAGTGAAGCTAAATTCAACTATGAAGGGAAGGAAGAACCACGTATATCCTGATTTAGATGTAGGAGATGATGTTTAGGAAACGAAAACCAACTAGCTGCCAAGGAAAGGGTGAGCAACTGGTCACAGAATACTTCTACAACAGAAAATGTTGACAATCAGTTAGGTCGAAATTTTCTAGAGTTGAAGGTAATGATAGGAAGATACAGGCAGCATTTGCGGTTTGAATTGCTGCAGGCTTGAGGGTGGTTGGACCGCTATCCCAGCGCTGGTTCTCATACAATTTCAAGATTGCCGTTCCAACTTCTGGGCTTGGACTTGTAGTCAAAAGGGCTTGCCATGCCGGTGAAGCTGCTATGAGGAGTTCAAAGATTCATTAAGGTCACCTTGGCACTTGGTATGACTTTGTCTGCATGGTCAGCGATTGTCCACATCACGCTGCACATCATACTTCCGTCCGAACCAGATGAGCCGACCATCTGCCTGCACCGCACAAGTATGACGGTGGCCAGCTGCGACACCAACAACGGGTCGCAAATCCGCTGGCACATCACACTGCCCATATTCATTCCATCCAAAACAGACGAGCCGACCATCTGCCCGCACTGCACAAGTATGACGGTGGCCAGCTGCGACAGCCAAAACGGGTCCCAGATCTGCTGGCACATCACACTGCCCATCTTCATTCCATCCAAAACAAACGAGCCGACCATCTGCCCACACTGCACAAGTATGATAGTCGCCAGCTGCGACAGCCAAAACGGGTCCCAGATCTGCTGGCACATCACACTGCCCATCTTCATTCCATCCAAAACAAACGAGCCGACCATCTGCCCACACTGCACAAGTATGATAGTCGCCAGCTGCGACAGCCAAAACGGGTCCCAGATCTGCTGGCACATCACACTGCCCATCTTCATTCCATCCAAAACAAACGAGCCGACCATCTGCCCACACTGCACAAGTATGATAGTCGCCAGCTGCGACTGCCCAACCTTCTCCCAAACCTGCCGGCAAGTGACACTGCGCACGTCTGGTGCATGTACTGCAGGCTATCAAACAACCTTTTCTCGTTACCCAACTGCTAATAACGGTTGCGGAAGCTCGAAACTTCCCGTCGTGTGGTGGGGATGTGGCAGTCTGAGGCCATCTACGCGTTTTCTTGACAAGCATCCAATACGTTGAAGCTGTGGAGAGCGAAGCGCGACTGGCGCAGCAAGGGAACGTTCCTGGAGCCAGCACGGACTGGCAGAAAAAAACACCTTGCTGTCATGGATGTCAGGAGAATGTGGTAAGTACCAGGGCAGCTTTCATAACGATTGAGAGATGCATGCCGCGCGCGCTTCATGCGGAAAACGACACCATGTGACTTGTGGATGTGTTTGCTATGAGCGAAGGCAGGGCAATCACAGACCGTTGGACGTCCAAGTGCAAGTATCTTATTATGGCAAACCCTAAACCCTAACCCTAAACCCTAAACCCTGAGACGTCATAGCGGCGCTGCAACACCGAAGCTTCACCACTGTGATGTAGTATCACTCTCAACTTTGTGACCTCATGACCGTTTGCAACCTTCTTCCTAAACCTTATTCCTGAAAACATTTCAAAAGAGAATCATTTCCATGTTTTTCGGGTTGGGTGTTCTGGGTTTTCTATGCGTGGGTCATATTCTGGCTTGAGCATGGTTCGATTGTATGGCTTTCATCAGGCGGGTCTTGTGTTGGGGTCTTCCTATTGGTATTCGATAGTGGTGTTGAGGTTGAGGTATAGGTTGGTTCTGGTTTTGGTCTTGGGGTGGCCGAACCCTAAACCCTAAACCCTAAACCCTAAACCCTAACCCTAAACCCTAAACCCTAAATCCTAAACCCTAAACCCTAAACCCCCCCCAAAAGACCCTAGAAATTCAGATCGAACCCTGGCAAGGCTGGAGTCCCCCCCGGCTATGAGTGAGTCAGATTTCGCTTGTCCATCTTGGTCATGGCCACAGATGTCCATGGGTTTGGGGTTTATGGGTTTTAGGTTTAGGGTTTAGGGTTTAGGGTTTAGGGTTTGGGTTTAGGGTTTAGGGGGTTTCGGGTTTCGGGTTCAGGGCTCCGAACTTTATCACCTCTGGGGTTGGGTATTCGTGGCCGAGATTGCAAGATAGAGCATTCACGGCGCGTTTTCTAGAAGGACGGACCAAGTCAACCACACCTGAAGACCTCAACCAAGGCAACCCTAAACCCTCAACCCTAAACCCTAAACCCTGAACCCTAAACCCTAAACCCTAAGCAAGATGCTCAACAGAGCTGCAAGGTTTGTTGCCATGCAAGGCCGTACTAGAATGCCTAGACCCTAGAGCCTTTGGAGCCCTCTAGCCTTCTGGCACCATCAAAGCCGTCTTATAATACACATAGATGTATAAAAACACATGTAATTCTACAACAACATGAGGTGTCGTTCTAAAAACGACACAGTTTTTACATCTGTGCGTACATATAAATATAAATATAAATAAATAAATAAATAAATAAATAAATACATATGTATATATATATATACAATAGCTACCCCCCCCCCCCCCCCCCATGTACCTACCCTTTTTGGGCTGAATCCATAGAATATTCTGTATTTCTCGCTTTCCCTCTCCCCTCCCCCCAAGATCCCGCAACGCGCGGTCGTTTTTTTTTTTTTTTTGGGGGGGGGGGGGGGGGGGGCGGGGGGTCCCATAACAATTCCAGCAAAAGTGACCTGAACAATTTGCTCGTGGATTGCATGCTGTGAAATTAAATAGGAATCCCATTCATTCGAATAGGGTTCCTCTCAAATTTAATTAGTCAGGTTCATAGGAATCATGATATTTTAATCGGAATCATATTAAAATGCATAGGAAACCTTTAAAACGAATGAGAACCCTTAATGCTACTAAATTCAATAGGAACCGTATTCAAATGAACAAGAAACCTACTATATGATTGATAGGAATCTTATTAAGTTTGTAGGAGCCTTACTAAAATAGATGGGCCAACTTTATTGGAATCCTAGAAACAACAATAGGAATCCTCTATTTAAATCCATAGGAACCCTATTTGAGATTAATCAGAGCCGTAAAGTCCATAGGAAGCCTCTTAAAATGAATTGGAGGCCCCTCACAAATTAATGAGAATCCTCGTAGGGAATCCTCGTAGAATTAATCGGAATCCTATTAAGCTGAAGAGGAACCCTACGACAATAAATAGGAATCAATCGGGCTCCTACAGAAAATAATGTGAACCTTTAGAAAAACAATAGGAATCCTACTAAAATGAACATGAACCTAAACCAATAGGAATCCCTTTAAAGTGAATGAGATCCCTATTAATATGAATACGAATCCCATTAACATGATTAAGAGTCTCATTAGTATTGATAGGAATCTTATTACATTAGTAGGAGCTTGTTAAAATAATTGGGAACCCTATGAAACTTTATTGGGACCTTATGAAAATAACTGGGAATTCTCTATTGAACTATCGGAACCAGATAACAGTTAATAGGAAAGAAGCCTATTAAAATGAATAGGAACCCTTAATTCACAGGAATGCTCTGAAAACGAGAAGGAATCTTACTAAAATTAATAGGAACCCATAGGCCTCAAAAACAATAGAATCCTTTAAATTCAACAAGAACTAACCGGAATTCTACTAAACTAATATGAGCCTAATCCGATAAGAATCCTTTAAAATTAATCAGAACCCTTGCGAATCCCAGTAACATGAATAAGAACCCTGTTTAAATTGATAGGAACCTGATTAAACTGGTAGGAGCCTTAGGGCGTGATGTCTTAGGATATGTTGCTAAGGTACAGTGTTTAGTATAGATGCTAGGTTTTGCTTATTGGGGGATGATTGCTTGAAATATTAAGGTATAAGTTTTAGGATAGATGTCATGTCTTGCGTATTGGGGCGTGATTGATTATAATTATATGGAGGTTTTGGATACTCATTCCAGATTTTGCTGGGTTCAAGTTTGTTTTTTTTTACCTCCTCGAGAAATGGTGGCTGGGAGAGAGCCTCAGATCACGAAATTCATGGATAACATTGGTTTTACCCATGTTCTTGAAGGATGGAGCCGAAAAACATCGGTAAAACTAATGTGATCCATGAATTTCGTGGTCGAAGTCACATGGTTTGAACACCATGGATTTGTTGGAGAACATTGGTTTTACCGATGTTTTTGAAGGATGGAACCGAAAAGCAACGGTTTAGGGTTTAGGGTTTAGGGTTTTTTTGCCACCCGCTTAGCTGACCTCTCGGACACTCTGCAGGGGAAGGGTTTAGGGTTTAGGGTTTAGGGTTTAGGGTTTAGGGTTTAGGGTTTAGGGTTTAGGGTTTAGGGTTTAGGGTTTAGGGTTTAGGGTTTCGTGCTCCCAGCCACATGGTTTGAAAACCATGAATTTGTTGGATAACACTGGTTTTGCCAATGTTTTTGAAGGATGGAGCTGAAAAAATTGGAAAAACCAATAAAACCCATGATTTTCAAAGAATTCATGGACACCATCGTTTTTCTTTCCTCGTCGTTCGTGTGATCAGCCGGGTGTCCTCACAAGAGCAAAAATGGTAGGTACATGGGGGGGCACCATATATATATATATATAACCATAAACATTCATAAGAAGATATTGTTGAAACTACTGGTATTAGAATTACGACTATTGTTGTTGTGAGACGCTGCGTGGTAGTATTATGAATACTATCAGAGATTATAGTAGCCTCCTGCTATAGTCCCTCTTAAGGACTGCTAGTATAACGGGGAACATCTAAACCCTTTTGAAAGAGGTCTCTCTCAAGTGCCTCAACATCTAAACCCTACACCCTACACCCTAAAACCCTAAACCCTAAACCCTAAACCCTAAACCCCAAACCCTAAACCGCGTATAAAGCCTCCAGTGAGGTTGCGACGTTGCTGCGTGTGAAGTCGATGCCAAGCATCATGCGGAGCTCCAGGCCGCCACCTTACATCCGGGAGGTTAGGGCTCCGTGGGTAGGGTTTAGGGTTTAGGGTTTAGGGTTCAGGGTTTAGGGTTTAGGGTTTAGGGTTTAGGAATTAGGATTGACGTCTTCGGTTTCGTATTGAGGGACATAAGGAGTCTGGGGCCGTGTTTTTGCAGGCCGCAAGCATGTGTTGGAAGACGTCTCCGAGGCATTCGGGTTCGGGGCTTGGGGTGTAGCGTTCCAGAAGGCATGGTCGAGAGCCCTACATGTCTATTCGACCCTAAACCCTAAACCCTAAACCCTAAGCCCTAAGCCCTAAACCCTAAAACCTAAACCCTAAAACCTAAACCCTAAACCCTAAACCCTAAACCCTAAACCCTAAACCCTAAGCCCTAAGCCCTAAACCCTAAACCCCAAACCCTATACCCTAAACCCTAAACCGATCAGCGGGAAACAAAAAATCTTGGCCCGCCGCGGACGTAGTCCAAAAAGGTGTAGGTGCGATCCAGGATGATGTCCTCCAGCATTTGGGACAGAGCTAAATCCCCCAGTCGCCAAAGCATAAACAGAAAACCTCGGTGGCTGTTTCAGGGGCTTTGAGGGTTTAAAGGTTTAGGGTTTAGGGCTAGGGTTTAGGGTTTAGGGTTTAGGGTTTAGGGTTGAGGCTTGAGAGTTGGGGGTTGAGGGTTGAGGGTTTAGGGTTTAGGGTTTAGGGCTTGGCTGAATGATGATATCAAGGGAGCCGAAGCAGAGGGAGAGGGGTCCCACGGGGGAACCTGGGCTTAACAAATCCTGCTGGCTGGGGCGCTGCCGCTAGTTCATGGTTGGGATCGCATTAAAAACTCATGTTGTATTCCTTATTGGGTTTAAGTACCCCTAAAAATGTAAGATGATACCCAAATATGACCAAGGGCCAGGGGTTCTGACTCTTCACAGGTGCTGTTTAGGGGTGTTTGGGTCTTTTTTGCCACCCGCCAAGCAGCCAAGCCACACACTGGAGCTCTTTTGTAATTTTATGTTCGTATGCGTTTTATGTTTTATGTTTTTTTGGGATTATTTAGTCTTTTTTTTTGAGGGGGGGTGGTTTCGGCTTTAAGGTTTTAGGGTTCAGGGATAGCTCTTTGCCCAGGTCTGCGGTCGGCTTTCGCACGGCTAACGTGCCTACTAGCAGCCTAATGGATTGAACCCTTTCCGAGCTGGGACCAACATCTCATGAAAGCCCTTCAATCACCTCAAGTTTGTAAATAGGCCTAAACCAAAACCCCGAAACCCTCATCTCAACTTTTGAGACTAAGGAAATAAGGACTCCTTGGGCACGCCAACCCCGAGGATATGGATGGACCATATGAGCATCACATATTTAGCTTCGGGAATGGGTTTAGGGTTTAGGGTTTAGGCTTTAGGGTTTAGGGTTTAGGGTTTAGGGTTTAGGGTTTAGGGTTTAGGGTTTAGGGTTTAGGGTTTAGGGTTTAGGGTTTAGGGTTTAGGGTTTAGGGTTTAGGGTTTAGGGTTTAGGGTTTAGGGTTTAGGGTTTAGGGTTTAGGGTTTAGGGTTTAGGGTTTAGGGTTTAGGGTTTAGGGTTTAGGGTTTAGGGTTTAGGGTTTAGGGTTTGGGGTAATCCAGCACGACTTCATCACCAGTGAGGCAGAAGTCCTGAGTGCTGCTATCACCCACCGTCTCCCAAATTCCTGAGGGCTGCCAAAAGTTCAGGTCTTCAACCCCACCCCTACCCCACCCTACCCCCTTAAAGAAGCCCTATGTCTTCTGGTGCCTCGGAAAACCTTCAGGGTCAACTCCCTAAACCCTAAACCCTAAACCCAAAACCCAAAACCCTAAACCCTCAACCTTCTCCTCCCCTTCGGCCTTGATGCGCAGGGTCCCCACCTCTCGTCCAAAGAACATGGTCTTCTCCCTCTTGCCGAGGCCTTTGGCAACAGGACTCTGTTCCCTAAACCCTAAACCCTAAACCCCAAACCCCAAACCCTAAACGCTAAAGGAAGTTTCGTACCTGTAAGCTCATATGGCGGTCTACGATATTAGGTGTACCTTATTGGGGTCCTTTAAAAAGTGAATCCTACTATTTGGGGGTCTATTTTAGGGGTCCCGCATTTTGCTAAACCCCATATGGTCCATGTCATCAAGGTAGTTCAGGCTTACGCTGTGGGGCATAACGGCATACAGACACTGACTTCAGCTGTAGGCGCTCTTTGGGCAAACATGCCTAAAACCCTCACCTTCGATTTGCAAAAGTCCATGAGCAGCTGCAAAGCTTTCTATGCCGACATGCCAGGCACAACCTTCAGGGTCCAATGGGGAGGGAGGGGATAGGTGTTCAAAAGCAGGGTCATCCATTCAAAACAACCCCACATACACTTTATTGTTACTCTCCTTCTTTTGGAGCTGCATTGGGCGTCTATCTGTGGCGCTTGCACTCAGGAGTTTTGAGCTTAGGGGTTGGGGCTCAGGGTGCTATAGGTTCGGACCTAAAACCCCTAAACCCTACCCGAAACCCTGAACCCTAAACCCTGAACCCTGAACCCTAAACCCTAAACCAGGACTGGTGGGTGGATGTCGCCTGTGGCCGTGCCGGAGCGGCTCAGGGTGGGGGTCGCGCTCGATCTTGGTGGGTTCAGGGGTTTAGGGTTTAGGGTTCAGGGCTTAGGGTTCAGGGGGTTTAGGGTGTCGGGTTTAGGGGTTCACTTGTTGCATTTTAGAGTTTCAGGGTGTTGGGGGCCATTGCTCTTGGGCTTAGGGAAGTACATCGTTTTTGAGGTTCACGAATTCCGGCAGTTTGAGGTCGAGGGTTGAGGACGGGTTAGAGTACCTATCCGCACGTAATCCTCAAGAAAGTTCCCACTTGTGTCCAGGAAGTCTAACAGCCTTGAGAAACTTTCCACTGCTTGAGCTCTCAGTGCCCAGCAAGAGGGTTCAGCTTTTAGGGTAGCCCTCCTTCTAAGGCCTTTTGTTTCCTACACTCAACTTTTCCCATCCTGGCGTGTGCAAGCCTCAACCTTCCAACCCGGCAGGCGGCGGGCCCATATCGAAACTGCGCAACTTTAAGGTTTAGGTCATCAACTCTTCCGGAGTGTCATTGGACATGTGGGGTTGTGCATGCACGGGGCAGCGGAACCCCTTCCAAACTATACGTACTCGGAGCACTACAATATACAAAAGTAACTACATGGATACACATGTACGCAGATGTGCACACATGCAGATATACGTAGACACATATACAAACATGTATACACACACACACGCACATACATAAACACACATACACACAGACACATACGCACAAACACACGCACGCACACAAACACACACACAAACACACACAAACACACACACACACACACAAACACACACACACACACACACAAACACACACACACACACACACCACACACACCAACACACA